CACCCCCCCCCCCCCCCCCCCCCCCCCCCCTTGCTACGCCACTGGCTGCCACTGGCTGGGTTCTTTGGTTCTGGCCCCCCCAACTTTCGTCCCAGAGTGCGTACGTAAATCTCTGAAGTTCAAGACTCAGCCGGCTCTCTATCTTTTCTCTCTCTCTTCCCCTCCTCTCTCTCATTATCTCTTTATCACTCTCCAGGGCATGAGAAGGGAAGGGGTGAGAAGCGATGAGGGGGAGGGAAAATCCAGTTCACTGATCTTCAGTATTTCTTGGAGTGGGGGAAACTCCGTAAAATTCTTAGAAGACGCTCCTCCCAGTCACCTTTAAATGACCAAGGCACCATGACTTACATCTGATTCGTGAGACAGACGTGAAAGGTGCCTTGGTGAGACTGTTAAGAGCTCCTTTAATGCCTTTGCCTATCGTGTTCGAGTTCTTAGTTTATAATATGATTTGGGTGTGTAGCATTGATACCTAGTCTAATTTAATGTAGGAGACTTTTCGTGATGCTAGCACAAATGATTAAATGCTCCTTGCCCTGGGTAATGAGAAAGGCAGATTCAAAGATTCTTTGAAGAAGATTCTAAGCATCGTGAAATGCTGAAGTATTTAGTCAAACGTGGTGATTCTCGTGATTCTCAACCTCATGAAAACTCAATTCCTTGCTCTGGTGATTCTGATGAGACCGTCACTCCGTGTATTAAGAGAGCAAGGTTCACCAGGCCCGGTGACCTGGGGGATCGTGATAGTGAGCCAAGACAACCTCGACAAGAGAAATTTCCATGTTCCATTTTCGGTGCTCAAACTCGCTGCTTCAACGCCTCATGGTTTAACCGATACCCGTGGCTGGAATACAGCATCGAAGTAGATGCTGCATTTTGTTTCGTTTGTCAGCATTTCAATCCAGCCAGTGGTGGTGCCGGTCGTTTGGATGAGGCGTGGGTGACTGACGGCTTCAGAAATTGGAAAAAGTTCATTGAAAAGACTCAGAAGCATGTTGGCAAATCAAATTCGTCGCATCAGGTGAGACTTCTCTCTCACCTACTTTCGTATTAAAAAAAAAAATGGAAATCAGCTACTGGGAAAACTTGCTTACTCGAGGTTAATGCGAAACCATTCGAGTTGTCGGTAATTCTAGTAATCTGAAATTGGCTCTGCACTCAAAAATTCACAGTTCCATGAAAACAAGAGATAGATTTTTTCGTCCTCATGGTGCAATCAGAGAGGAGTGATATGCAGGCAATGTGTTAAATGGTTTCACCTTTCTTATAGCAAAGGCACCTCAGTTTTAATCCCTTGGACAGGCAACAGCGAGGAAATGGAGAATAAAAAAGAAAGGAAGTTTTCGAAGTTTAAGGGTGGATTTTTGAACCAAACATTATCCGATAATGCTGCTTTATTTCAGAGAAAATGCATTATAAATCCGGTAAATAAAGCTGCATTATCGGATAGTGCTCTGTTAAAAAATCCTCCCTTAGTCACAGAATTCATTTCATACGGAATATCTAAGAACATATCTTTTTTTTTCTTCCTTTACATTCTCTGTGCTGGACTTGAGTTGAGACAAGATTTTTTATTTCTCAATTTATAATTAAAATTTAATTCAAGACGACAGAATATTTGAGAGAAACGAATTTGCAAAAATGGAATATGCTTCATGTAATTTTGTCGGGACCAAACTAAACCATCGGGTGGGCGAAACTCAAAATTCAGAATTCGACTTGACGAGTTTCTTTTGTAAAATGCTCTCCTTCACAATTCACGTGGCCGTGATAGGTTGCATACCGACATTGGATGGAATTCAAGTTGCGCAAGTCAGAGGGCAAGGATGTGCAAAACCTCTTGACTTCTGCATCTGAAGAAGTACGGCAACAGAACAACTTTGTTGAATCGGTAGAAACATCTTTATTTCTCATATCTAATACTAGCAAGAAAATACATTTCTATGCTCTGTATTCGACCGTCCATTTCCAACTGAGATTGGTCGCAGCGTATAAAAGTCTAACGATTGAATTCAAGGTGAATGCAAGGTGTTATCAAATCATCAGGAGAGATATAGGCCTACTCAACAAAAACACGAAACGGCACGAACACGCGAACAAAAAAAATGAAACCAAGAAAAATGTTATGAAATTGTGGAAACAGAATGTGAACTCAAAATGATGAAAACACATTCGATATCTGAAAATAGCTTAAAATGAACTAAATTAATTTCGGGATTCAGCCCAAATATCACTGCTCTAATGTCCAACTGAAAATTCATTAACCTGTACGATTCACGCCTTTTATTTGAATTGTCGTCCTTCCGTTTCCATTAAAAAAAATTCAATAGTGTCACATGAGCAGGACGTTTCCTTGACAGGTTCACTTTACTAAAGTGAGTTGTAACTGGCGTGACCTTCACCTTTCACCTCCTATCTTTGTGCCTTTCCAGCCTCGCTCTCAGGTCGTTTGTTCATATCTTTCCCCCACCCTCGGGGGAGATGGGAATGGAGAGTTAGAGTGATATAACCATCACTTTGAAGGGGGGGTTCAGACCCCCCTGACCCCCCCCCCCCCCTCCTTGGTTTATCTGGAGTTCCTCGAACCATCTCGAATATGCCTGAGGAGGGAATGCCTCCAAGAAACATGAAATTCATGGGTAAGATATCTCCAGATCCTACCACATCGATCAATCACTGCTAACCACCGCTTCATTCTCAGCTCAACTCATGAACTCAACACAAAAAATGCACCATACATTAAAAACCAGAAGATCCAAACGCCGATACGAAGGTTGAAGTAGACTTGAATCTGGCCTAGTTTCAGCATGGTATCCGGGAACACTGGGGGACGGTACCGAAGCAAGCACTCTAAGCCTAATTGAGCGACAGCTAATTTCATTTTTTTGGCGAAATGGTGCATCGCAAACAACGAAAAGGCCACTTTCCGTCATTTACGAGTCAATATCTTTCTTATGGTTAGTCTCTTTCCTCCGAAAACCCCCAGGAATTAGTGGTTTTTTCCTCACCCAGGGGGTGAGGGAAAAAAACCGGAGTGAAATTCACATCTTCCAAAAACAAGATTCAATATTCTCCACAACCCAGGGAGATTGAATTTCAAAATTGCTAGAGTTATTGTGCTGAGAGAGGAAGAAACACACGCCTAACTTTGTTCCTGTTGATGCTCTCAGAGATGAATACGAGGAGATTGAATTTTGTGGCGGGAAGGGGTTGAAGAGAGGTAGTAGGCGCTACCAAAGCCTATTGATTGATATCAGGGGGGAAAAGACAATAACGACCTCTTGGCAGTAGATGATGAGTATGGGCAATCAGATGATGGATTCCGCTATAATCATATTAAGAGCAGTTGTCATCATTGCCGGTACGTGTTATAATCCATTGAAGTAAGCCGTCGAGTACCTATTTTCACGAATCCATTCGGGAAAAATGACAGCAAGAAGCACAAAGAGAACGGAGAAGTGTTAAAAGATATCGGTTGTAAAGCTCGTATCTATCCAAATATAGCTGGGCTCATGATGTTGGCCCTTCCAGGGAACAGTGATTGCTTCACCTTCATCAAGATAAGGAAGTGGAGAAGGTGCCATAAGGCATGCAATCCTGGTGTGACGATGTTTCGGCTTCCAGGAATCGTAAACCTAAGATTACATGCAATAATTAAACAAATACGAAGCTTGTACCACCGTCTTTGCTATCTTGCTTCTGGGGGCCACCTATACAAATTTCATCACGTGACGATCATATAAAGTTCTGTACTAAAATTGCTCAATCAGCGACAAAAAGGGCCATTCACCTTTTTTCCCATTTCAAGCCTTTCCACCAGTGGCGTAGCGAGGGGGGGGGCTGGGGGGGGGCTTGGTTCTTGCCACTTTGGTTCTAGCCCCCCCAACTTTCGTCCCAGAGTGCGTACGTAAATCTCTGAAGTTCAAGACTCAGCCGGCTCTCTATCTTTTCTCTCTCTCCCTCTCTTCCCCTCCTCTCTCTCATTATCTCTTTATCTCTCTCCAGGGCATGAGAAGGGAAGGGGTGAGAAGCGATGAGGGGGAGGGAAAATCCAGTTCACTGATCTTCAGTTTTTCTTGGAATGGGGGAAACTCCGTAAAATTCTTAGAAGACGCTCCTCCCAGTCACCTTTAAATGACCAAGGCACCATGACTTACATCTGATTCGTGAGACAGACGTGAAAGGTGCCTTGGTGAGACTGTTAAGAGTTCCTTTAATGCCTTTGCCTATCGTGTTCGAGTGGTTAGTTTATAATATGATTCGGGTGTGTAGCATTGATACCTAGTCTAATTTAATGTAGGAGACTTTTCGTGATGCTAGCACAAATGATCAAATGCTCCTTGCACTGGGTAATGAGAAAGGCAGATTCAAAGATTCTTTGAAGAAGATTCTAAGCATCGTGCAATGCTGAGGTATTTAGTCAAACGTGGTGATTCTCGTGATTCTCAACCTCATGAAAACTCAATTCCTTGCTCTGGTGATTCTAATGAGACCATCACTCCGTGTATTAAGAGAGCAAGGTTCACCAGGACCGGTGACCTGGGGGATCGTGATAGTGCGCCAAGACAACCTCG